TGTGATGTTTCTGTTTCTTATGGGGGGGATTCTAAAGGAAAAAATTTTTCCCCCAAAGGTTTTTTGGATGAGTTTGGGAATGTGGAAAAATAAAAGTTGAAAGTGAACTTTGGAAAAAAGTAAGGTGATGAGGGGTCAAATGATTTAGATAAAAAAAAATTGGGTTTTCAAAAAAGGGGAGGAGGGGGTTGGAAAAAAGTTTAAAAGTTTTTAGGGTAAAAAGGGAGTTGACGTGTGGCGGATGGATTTTATGAAAAATGAGGTTAATCATTTGAATTTTATTTAGGGAAAAAAAGGTGAGTGGGGCGTTGAGGTATTTTGTGGAGTCCAAAAAAAAGTTATCTATGGAGGCAAAGAAGGGGGAAAGTATGAAAGAAAAGTAGTACCCAAAAACTTTTTAGGGTGTGAAGCTTGGGTTTTTAAATTTCAGCAGCGAGGAGACGGTTGGGGGCAGCCCGGGGGAGGGCCTGTTTTTAAGGGGAATGTGTTTTTGTAAAATTATCAGAAAATTGGAGTTTTGGAAATTAAAGGGGAAGGTTTTGGAGTTAAAAAAAAGTATTTTGTCGAGGGGAGAAGAGGGGTTTTTGAGGTGGTTTGGGCATTTTGAGGGGAATGGACACAGTAAAAGACATGGGGAAAACATAAAAAATCAAAAGGGGAAGGGAAAGGGGGGGTAGGGGGCCCTCCCCCCGAAAGGGTTGGGGAAAAGAGGGGGGAAAGGGGGTTTTGTGGGGAAGGGGCTTGGGCTTTCCAGGCCCAAACGTTCGTGAGCGTGTTAGATAGGAGTGAATGGAGACGAATGGACTTTTTGGGGCCCGACAATCTGTTGGAGTTGAGCAGGGTTAAAAATTTTGGGAAGGGATCAGGGGAAACCCGGGTTTTTTTCCCTATAGTCGGATTGAGGTCCCGGAAATGGGAAAACAAAAAATGCCTGCACTTTAAAAAAGGGGTTTGGGGTATTGGCAAATTTGGAGGGGTTGTTTGTATCCCTTAAAATGTTTATGCTTCTAAACGTTTGTATTCTGACACCTCTGCAAAAACAGTGAAAATGTTTCGGGGTGTGGTGAAAGTGTTGAATGATGATGAAAAGGATTTTTTTTTTTGGGTTTTTTTTTCTTTTTTTTGGGGCACCCGGGCCTTTCCTCGGTGGGAGACGGCCGACCCTTTTTGGGAAAAAAAAAAAAAAAAAAAAAAAAAAAAATCACAAATTGTGGGTAAATGCTCCCAAAAACACTTTTATCCAAATTACTATGTTCAGAAACAAAACTTGCATTTAAACAGGGTTTTTAAACTTTGAAGCAAGTGTTGTAAAAATTTACAGACAGCTTTTTCATTTTCTTTAACCAGGGGAAAAAAGCTTTAAAACCCGTAGGGGGAGGTTTTTCCAACCCATCACACAATAATAAAGATTTGTCAAGGGAATATAAAATTTGGGGCTAAACCCAAAAGGGTCATACCGCACTTTCAGGTAAAAGGGTACGAAAGGGGGAAGTGCAAAGAAATCACGAAATCTTAATGACAAAATTGCAACAAACCATAAACCCGGGGGGGTTTTGGGAAAGAATTTTTTGAAACCCAGCTGGCCCAGTGGCTAATGTGAAAGGTCTGGATTTTTTAGACCCCCGACCTAAAGGTTTTAAAAACCCCACTCGCGGTTTGGTTTTGGAAAGTGCTAGGGTTTGGTTTAGCAAGTACAGGGCAAGAGTGGCAAGCCTTAAAACCACACACCCAACACACAACACCAAAAGGGGCCCCATTATTATAATCAAAAATTTAAATGGAAAAACCCTCAAAAGGGGCACCAGTGCTGCAGGGTAGGGGGGTGTAAAGGGTTTGTGAGGGGTGCTAAAGGAAGTATAAAACAAAGGTTTTATAATAAATCTGTTTACTGTCAAAAGTTAAAAAACCCCTTTCCAAAGGGGGGTTTAAACCGTACTAGTACGGCTTACTAGCCAGGGTTTTTGACGTACTAGTACGCCTAAATTCTAGCACCCTCAAATCTAGTGAAAGCTGGTAGGCCTACATATGAAAGAATGGGTCTGTGGTCAGTGTGCCCAGTATAAAAAAAAAATCCTGCAGCACACAGTGCGTAATGAGAAAAAAAAACTTTGACCGTGTTTTTGGATTAACCCGTAAACGGTCCAAACGTATATATACAGTGTATATGTTTTTTCAACATTTGAAAGTATGTAAAAAAAGTAAATCATCTTTTTGTTTTTTTACATTTTCAAATGTGTAAAAAATTTTGATCTACTTTTTTTTTTTGTTATATTTGAAAATATGTAAAAAAAACGTAGATCTACTTTTGTAGCACTACACATGTGAACGTAGATCTGCTTGGACCGTTTATGGGTTAAAACAGCGACTTTGCACTGTATTTTCGTATGGTATTTATTGTTGTATTCTAGTTTTCCTGGTCTCATTTTATAGAACGGAAGACATATTACAGAATTTGAGATGATTTTGACTGGTTTTACAAAGAAAAGTACCTTGAAATTGAGTTCAAAGTAGCAGAAATGTTCAATTTTTACCAAAGTTCAAAAGTAAACAAATTATACTATGCGTCCAATACACGTCAACTGGCGAGTCTAATATTCTTTCACAAATGCGCTGATATTTATACCATTTCTACACCAATGCAGTAGTCTGCATAACAGTAAATCTACTTTTTGTGAGAATAAATATTCAAAGTGGAAAGCAAAAGAATGTAAGAGGGACGTGGGGACGTGACTAATGAACAGAGGAAATGTTATTTTAGTGCCAGGAATGTCTTTCTTGTTTATTCTGGACCCTATTCGGAAAAAATTGGCATCTTTTGAAATTTGTGTGAAATTGGCAAAATTGCTAAATCCTGACCACTGTATTGGATAGTTGAAATCAGTAAATGGGTGGTTTCTTGTACTCATTCGATAGAAAAAATGGAGTTCTAGCGAAATAGTTATGATTTTTGTTGACAAGTATACTGAAATTGGCCGAAAATAGGGCTCAAAGTGGGCAAAATCGCCAATGCGTAAACATCATCAAGACCGCTAACTTCGCGAGAGCATAATTCCGTAAGTTTTCCCTCAAATTTCATACTTTTGGTGTCATTATTTTTTAAATACACTACCTAACAGAATACTCCATTCTACTGAATGTACAACAATGCATACAACCATATGACCTGTCTTTGTAATACTCACTTGTGCTTTATAGTAATCTGTTTACATTAAAGTTTTATCACTGATGTCATCATTGCTTAGTGCATCTTAAGTTAATTTTAAGCCAGCCCGTAATGCTATGCATAGTATAAGTGGCTTTGGCATGCTGCTCTTATCTGTATTTTTTGTACCTCTGTATGTGTGCTCAAATTTTTAAATAAATAAATAAATAAAATAAATTATGATCAGGAAAAGATTCTCTATCTTTTCATAAGAAAAATAATTTTTTTTTTTTAAATTTGGCCAACCCTGAGAACAAGTCTCTGAGAGGGCCTGTCGACCCTGAAAGGGTTAACCCTTTGACTGTCGGGGCCGTATATATACGTCTTACGAGGTACCGTGTTTGACGTATATATACTCATAAATTCTAGCGGCTTCAAATCAAGAAGGAGAAAGCTGGTAGGCCCACATGTGAGAGAATGGGTCTGTGTGGTCAGTGTGCACCATATAAAAAAAAATCCTGGAGCACGCAGTGCATAATGAGAAAAAAAAACTGACCATTTTTTTAAATTAAAATGCCGACTTTGTGGTCTATTTTCGTGTAGTATTTATGGTTGTATTCTCATTTTCTTGGTCTCATTTGATAGAATGGAAAACATATCATAGAAATAGAAGTGATTTTGATTGATTTTACTATAAAAAGAACCTGGAAATGGAGCTCAAATTAGGGGAAATGTTTGATTTTTGCCAATGTTCAAAAGTAAACAAATGATGTCATTGTCCAATAAATGTCCAACTAGCCATTCTAATATGCAGTCATGAATGGGTTGATGTTATTTATACAATTATTACAGTATTGCAGTAGCCTGCACAATAGTAAGTCTTCTATTTTTTGTTTGAATAAAAATTCGAAATAGAAAGCAAGAGTAATATCAGAAGGGCCTGGAGACATGACTGATGAACAAAGAAAATGTTATTTTAGAGCCAGGAATGTCTGCATTGTTCATTCTGGACCTTATTTTGAAATTGTCATTTTTTAATTTTCGTGAAATTGGCCAAATTGCAAATTTCTGACCACATTATTGGGTAGTTGAAATCGGTAAATGGGCAGTTTCTTGTACTCAATCGATAGAAAAAATGGAGTTCTAAAGAAATAGCTATGAGTTTGGTCGACTGGAATAATGGAATTAGCCGAAAATAGGGCTCAAAGTGGGCGAAATCGCCGATTTGTAAATATCGCCGAGGTTGCTAACTTCGCAAGAGCATAATTCCGTCAGTTTTCCATCAAATTTCGTTTTTTTTGGAGTCATTACAATCGGGAAAAGATTCTCTATCATTTCATAAGAAAAAATAATTTTTGTTTTTTTTGAAATTTTGCGACACCAGGAGACACCTCAGGATTAGGGGTTGCGACAGTCAAAGGGTTAAAGAGGGAGAGTGTCAAAGATGGGGCAGTCAGTGAGGAGGGAAGATAAAGGGTGTAGAGTGGTGATGCTGCCGAAGGTAAATTCTGCATGCTCGCTGATAGACTGGACAGTCCAACAGAATATGGCAAGCTGAAATTGGAAAGGGCTGCCACAAATCCAGTCACTGTCCAAGTCTCAGATAATGCTATCTTCTGGCAGATAGGAATTGAAGAAAAAATAAATAAATCTAGTCTAGGTCTCTGGTCAACCTTGGCAAACATCTTCAGTATTTTTACTGCTCTGCAACAAAATTGTGGTGATTTTAGCATTATAAACCAGCTTGTACAGCAAGATTTTCAATTCTGGGGGTTAACAAAGCTCGTTATCATTATGACTGCAGCCAAACCTTAACCCATTCAACTCTTTGGAATTACAAGTGAACAAAACAATGGACAAGGCAGACCTTTTTTTTTTTATTAAATTTAAATGTATTGTATGTACAGTAAGGCAATGTATTAAATTCTTTCCTAAATATGTAAAAATCATACATAATGTAGTCTAGTCAGATAGTACAAAATTTATAAATACAGACTGTACTTATAAGTTATGTACATGTATATCTTTGCACTTTAAAGAAAATTCTTACCATTTCCTACAAAGCAAAATCTTCATTATATTTGCAATAACAAAAAAATGCACTAATTACTTCTGTAAGGTACATATTAGGATTTAAGAAGCAGGGAGTGAATCCCAGCACACTATGTCTAATAGTGAAATCAAATTTGATTTTTTGGCAAAGAATGAAAACTAAAACACCTTCCACATATTAGCTGCTATGTAGTCATGCAGACCATCTAACAAAATAAGAATTCAGCAAGTTACTTAAATTTAAGGGTTATCAAAGAATTTGTCCCTTTAGCCCAGCATTATCAATTTGGTCTGACACTCCTTACTTGAACCAAGATAAAATAAAAAGCCTCCCACTCTAATTATATCATGCAGTATATTAAACATATACAGCATATAATTACCAGCTGTACTCACCATACACATTATCTCAACCCTACTTTGCTTTAGTTTAATTACTAGCGTTGTTCACATACTTCCTTAAAATATAATGCACAACTATTAACTAAATCTAATAACTATTTATAATTTTACACTAAACCTTGTCTTTAATTCTCCAGTATAACATTATGGTCAAGTTTAAAGAAAAGTACTTGTCCCAAAGACAATTAGTACTTACAAGAATTTAGTATCAGTCAGGTAGCTTGTACAGCTTGCTCCTTCAGTAGGCAAAATATTCTTCCTTGCCTTACCAAACTGGTTGAAAAATTATGAATTTCCCTTCAAAGAAAAAATTTTGTATTAACTGTTTACAAATCAATGACTGTCTTGAAAAATAAAGAATGTTTACTGTATTAACTATTTACAAATTAATAATTTAAAATAGTGCAAAATTTACTACAGTCTGGTCTGAAGCCATGTGATAGTGAAAATATAATTGAACAACACTGTAGTGAATCTTTCTTTTATGTGGGAGAAAAAAAAAAAAAAAAAAAAAAAAATCAAACGCAAATGCCAACTTTTTCTAAAATGTATACGTGACAGTTATGGCATCAATTAATCCTAAAGTGTGTGATAATAGTAATGTGGTCACCTATCCATGTTTTTAAAATTCCATCAAATAGGTAAAAATCTGTTTATTTTGCTCCAAATTTGGCCATCTTGTTGTTCAGTGGTGCCTTCATGAACCTGGGAGAGGCCATGTACTTCTTTATGGGCTCCAGGTCCTCAAATCTTTTTTGAAATTCCTGCAGATTCTTAGCGTTCTTAAGGCATGTGTCATCCAACTGCAGGTGCTGGTCAAGTAGCTCGTACATCAGGAAATCAACAAAAGTTATCTGTAGGTTATCAAAGGAAGTTATTTTATTAATTATAAACAATTAGCAATATTTAGTAATGCCGATATTTGCTTACAAAGTGAAAACAATACACAAACAAGATAGTGTATTTACACATTAGTACAAAACTGGAAGGAAATTTTTTTAGACAAATTTCCATTTTTTATAGTGACAAACCTTAAATATTTCATAAATGTATTTAAGTATAGCAGCTGGCAAGCTCTTGTCCCAAGCCTTTAATAGCACCCCACCAATACATACCACAGTACAGTATGGTATTTTCATTTTACTTAAGGAAAACAAGAGCAGTTTATTTGATTATGTGCTGATTAATAAAAGGCCACTGTAGCAAGCTTTCAGATGTACAAGGAATGTTTAAGAGAAATGACTAAACAGTTGAAAGTGGAATACAAGAATCATTATATTCCACACTAATATTCTCCTCAAACATTTAATGGCTCAAGACAATGGCATATGTACTGTACTCACATTATCTCCAGCAAACCATGGCCGAGTTCCAAGAAACTCGGAGAACGTCTTTATAGTTTTGGGAAGAGCATCCAAGTACCGTTGCTTCTGAAGGTTCTGAGGGATCCAACCAATGATAAGCAATAAGACATTATGTACTTTAACAGCCAATACTGTTCATTATACCTAAATTAAATTTATTGTTACTATGAAGAATATAATGCACCAAACTGTAGTACAGTACATCAAATGTTTTATGGAATGCAAAGAAATTTTAATTTTGACGTAGTATAGGATTTGAATGAACATGTCTGTACCAGTCGACAAAGTGCAAGACCATGTTTACTGAAAGAAAAACAAAAAGAAAAATAGAAAAATTATAAAAACAGGAGGTATGTACACTGTAATGTGTGCTCTCTCCAGTTATTAATTTTTTTTTTGTTAAATGGTTTGTACCATTTATTAAATTATACAAGTATTAGAACTTAGCATATGACTAGATATATAGTACAACAGTTGCCTTTAAGGTTTCATATACCTGTTTCTCCTTACAAAATTAGGAATTAAGTTATGATGAAAAAAACTCCTGATATTGAAGTTCCAAGACCATATTAGTAGATTCTCTGACAACACTTGTATGAACAAGACAGAGAACTTGGTAGTGATGAGTCTATGGACAATGGAGATCCCATTTATAAGAAATGTGGTATGAATATTATGCAGAGTAAGAGGTGACAAAATTAGAAAAAGTGAGGTAATGCAAAAAGCATAAATCAGAGCGGAAGAACAACTGCCGAGACAGTTTGACTTAGAAACTGGAGCAAGAGATGTATAAATCTGGGGTAGATAGAAGGTGTACAGAAGGGTGTGGAGGTTTTACATGTGCATTCAACAGGCATATGCAAGTGTGGTAAATCTGGGAATTTTAAGTGCTATAGGAGTGCAAGCAAAATTAACATTTAAAAGAATTCAGGGAAAATTGTTAAACCAATTCTGGAGGATGAGTATGGATGCTAAAATTAGAACTGTGCTGTCCATGTACTTTTGGCAAAGACAACTAATGATGCATGGTGGGGAATGGTTTCTTTGAGTCAGCCAATTTGGTTAAATTTTTTAAATTGCCTAATATACAGGACTATAAAAAATATTTATACAATTCATTTTTGTTAATGTACAATTTCATTATAAAAATGCACTACATTTATTTGAGACCATAAGCACAAACGAAGCAGTTTAAAAAAAAAAAAATTGCAGTACAATACTTACAAACTCAAGGTAACAGAGCCTGACAAAGCCATTTCGAAAATCCATAGCTTGGTTCTCAAGAATGTCAACACGAATTTTTTCTTCTTCTGTCTTGCCTACGAGGTCATGTTTCCGGGAAATGTAGCGCAATATTGCATTACTCTGCGTGATTTTTACATCCCCATCTATGTAATATGGAAGCTGAGGAGTAGTAAATATGCTGTTAAACAAGTGACTATTCTATTTCATAAAGTATGCAAATCATATAAAGGAACTGAGAATGAAGTAGAAATATGCTCAAAACAATGGCAAGTGTTGTAGCCTATTTATAAGTCATAATCTTCTCATAATACAATGGTCACAAGAGCCTGCAACAAGAAAACACAAACTGCAGGTTATTAACATAAGCAGGAGCATTGCTATCAAGTACAAATGATACAGCTATAGCAAGACTTGCCAGGCTCTGGGACCCATGTGCACTTTAAAGGAATACGAAAAAAATTAGTTATAATCTTTATATTCTTGGGGAAGCACTAAACCCACATAGGTCATACAACACCTAAGGTATTGTAGGTGTTAAGATCTGATTCAAGGAAGGGAAAGGCAACTCCTCTTCTGATAAAGAGTATAATTAAAAGGAGAAATCTACAATCAGCATGTAATCCTTTCTTTATTTACTAATTAAAATACTGATTAATAAACACTTACAGGGAAGGTGTTTCCATCTGAAATTTTTTTTATTTTATTATCACACTGGCCGATTCCCACCAAGGCAGGGTGCCCCGAAAAAGAAAAACTTTCACCATCATTCACTCCATCACTGTCTTGCCAGAAGGGTGCTTTACACTACAGTTTTTAAACTGCACCATTAACACCCCTCCTTCAGAGTGCAGGCACTGTACTTCCCATCTCCAGGACTCAAGTCCGGCCTGCCGGTTTCCCTGAACCCCTTCATAAATGTTACTTTGCTCACACTCCAACAGCACGTCAAGTATTAAAAACCATTTGTCTCCATTCACTCCTATCAAACATGCTCACGCATGCCTGCTGGAAGTCCAAGCCCCTCGCACACAAAACCTCCTTTACCCCCTCCCTCCAACCTTTCCTAGGCCGACCCCTACCCCGCCTTCCTTCCACTACAGACTAATACACTCTTGAAGTCACTCTGTTTCGCTCCATTCTCTCTACATGTCCAAACCACCTCAACAACCCTTCCTCAGCCCTCTGGACAACAGTTTTGGTAATCCCGCACCTCCTCCTAACTTCCAAACTACGAATTCTCTGCATTATATTCACACCACACATTGCCCTCAGACATGACAACTCCACTGCCTTCAGCCTTCTCCTCGCTGCAACATTCATCACCCATGCTTCACACCCATATAAGAGCGTTGGTAAAACTATACTCTCATACATTCCCCTCTTTGCCTCCAAGGACAAAGTTCTTTGTCTCCACAGACTCCTAAGTGCACCACTCACCCTTTTCCCCTCATCAATTCTATGATTCACCTCATCTTCATAGGATCCATCCACTGACACGTCCACTCCCAAATATCTGAATACATTCACCTCCTCCTACTCTCCCCCTCCAATCTGATATCCAATCTTTCATCACCTAATCTTTTTGTTATCCTCATTTACCTTACTCTTTCCTGTATTCACTTTTAATTTTCTTCTTTTGCCACCCCTACCAAATTCATCCACCAATCTCTGCAACTTCTCTTCAGAATCCCCCAAGAGAACGGTGTCATCAGCAAGAGCAACTGTGACAACTCCCACTTTATGTGTGATTTTTTATCTTTTAACTCCACCCCTCTTCCCAAAAGACCTCGCATTTACTTCTCTTACAACCCCATCTATAAATATATTAAACAACCAGGGTTTGACATCACACATCCTTGTCTAAGGCCTACTTTTACTGGGAAATAATTTCCCTCTTTCCTACATACTCTAACTTGAGCCTCACTATCCTCATAAAAACTCTTCACTGCTTTCAGTAACCTACCTCCTACACCATACACCTGCAACATCTGCCACATTGCCCCCCTATCCACCCTGTCATACGCCTTTTCCAAATCCATAAATGCCACAAAGACCTTTAGCCTTATCTAAATACTGTTCACTTATCTATTTAACTGTAAACACCTGGTCCACACACCCCCTACCTTTCCTAATGCCTCCTTGTTCATCTCCCAGATGTTGCACGTGTCTTAATTTCATCTTGTCGGTATTATATACCATTCTTGCACATATGGGATGTTAGTGCTATCGGTCTGTAGTTCTTTGCTGTTGCTTTACTGGCCCCTTTGTGGAGTGGGGCTATGTCTGTTGTTTTTAGTAACTGTGGGATGACCCCCGTGTCCATGCTCCCTCTCCCTAGGATGGAAAAGGCTCATGATAGGGGCTTCTTGCAGTTCTTGATGAACACGGAGTTCCATGAGTCTGGCCCTGGGGCAGAGTGCATGGGCATGTCATTTATCGCCTGTTCGAAGTCATTTGGCGTAAGGATAACATCGGATAGGCTTGTGTTAACCAAATTTTGTGGCTCTCTCTTAAAAAATTCATTTTGATCTTCGACTCTCAGTCTGGTTAGCGGCTTGCTAAAAACTGAGTCATATTGGGGACTTGGGGTAGCTCACTCATTTCCTTGCTGTCATCTGTGTAGGACCCATCTTGTTTAAGTAGGGGCCCAATACTGGACGGTGTTCTCGACTTTGATTTGGCATAGGAGAAGAAATACTTTGGGTTTCTATCGATTTCATTTATGGCTTTTAGTTCTTCCCGCGATTCCTGACTCCTATAAGATTCCTTTAGCTTAAGTTCGATGCTTGCTATTTCTCTGACCAGTGTCTCCCTACACATTTCAGATGTATTGACCTCTCTTAGCCGCTCTTATTCTTTTCCGTCGCCTGTAAAGGGAGCGCCTGTCTCTTTCTATTTTACATCTACTCCTCCTTTTTCTTAGAGGAATAAGCCTTGTGCATACATCGAGTGCCACCAAGTTAACCTGTTCTAGGCATAAGTTGGGGTCTGTGTTGCTTAGTATATCTTCCCAGCTTATATCAGTTAGGACTTGGTTTACTTGGTCCCACTTTATGTTTTTTTTTTATTGAAGTTGAATTTGGTGAATGCTCCCTTGTGACTAGTCCTCATTATGTCGTCTGGGGCTCCACGCATACATGTCTGAACCTCAATTATGTTGTGATCTGAGTATATTGTTTTTGATATGGTGACATTTCTGATCAGATCATCATTGTTAGTGAAGATGAGGTCTAGTGTATTCTCCAGTCTAGTAGGCTCTATTATTTGCTGGTTTAAATTGAATTTTGTGCAGAGATTTAAAAGGTCGTGCGAGTGTGAGTTTTCATCAGAGCTGCCTCCTGGTGTTATTACTGCAACAGTATTATTTGCTATATTCCTCCATTTTAGGTGCCTTAAGTTGAAATCCCCCAGGAGCAAGATGTTGGGTGCAGGAGCTGGAAGATTTTCCAGACAGTGGTCAATTTTTAGCAGCTGTTCCTTGAATTGCTGGGATGTTGCATCCGGAGGCTTGTAGACTACCACAATGACTAGGTTTTGGTTCTCGACCTTTACTGCTAAAACTTCCACTACATCATTAGAGGCATTTAGCAGATCTGTGCAAACAAGTGACTCTGCAATGTACAGGCCAACCCCCCCCCCCCTTTTGCCTGTTCACTCTGTCACATCTGTATAGGTTGTAGGGTCATACAGTGCCTGGGGAATGATAATCTGGTTTGAAGCAAAGAAAAAGAAGGTAGTCTAATTTCTTGGATCGAAAGCTATCCACCAGTGTTAAGGCATCTTCTCTGAAGGGATATTCATCATAAAACAATTAAATTAGATAGCTAACTTTCCTTGCCTTAAGGGTTACGAATACGTACTGTACATATTTTCCTAGCTTTATGCTGGTTGCTTTAAGGGGGATTCACTACTTACTATGAAATGTCCCATTTCTATTGGAAATTCCATATGGTTGACACATTCTCAGTATGCAACTGGTGCAATTCACAAAACATTCAAGATTTTTATGTGAAAATGCTGATGGCATGACTGTGCTTAGTGCAACTGCTACAGGTCAGATATGCAACTACTGCATAAAGTGAGGGACATTATTCTGATGTAAACATTAATTCTTGAAATGTCCAATTCCATAATGCAACAATGGATTTTTTTTTTTTTTGGCCAAAGTGGGATAATATTACTAGCATGCTATTCACTATATACAAACCACCTTATCATCCACAACAGTACTCTAAACATACCACTGCACCTCTGTAGCTTTTTAAAACAAAAAATTTGCTCCATGCAGTTAAAGGAAAAAAATCAATGATAAAAGCAGTTTACAAAACTTACATTTGGAAAATCCAGCCCTAAATCTTCTTTAATATCAAACCAACAAGACTTATCGTAGTCTGGTGCTGGGCCACATACGTAAAATTTGTCTTCAAATTCTGTGCCAGTATATTCCAGTAAAAGCCTGATTGGCTGAGCAAGCTGAAAGAAATGTAGTCAGCATCCATCAATAACTATTAAAAAAAAGCTTTGCAGTTTAGGAAAAAAACTTACATTAGGCTACTAAATAATATTTAACTTCCAATTTCATGAATCTGCACATCAATAGGCTATGTGACAAAACAGTTTAGTTTGCAAACCTTGGTCTTTTGCAATAGTGTGACCTTACAATGTATAAGTGCTATTGCAGACTTGTTGCAAACAACTGCATCCATCTAAGACAACTCATAATAATGGATTCAAATAAAATGCATTTAAAAAGAAATTTAAATGTACCATTTTGGTGATATGTATACAGTAGACAAAGTATGAAGCAGAATTACAGAAAGTAAATCTACAGTAATTGAGTAGCTTGAAAATAGCTCAGTTAATGGGAAATGGTTGGATTTCATTAAGACCTGGCTTGCCCGTGGCAGTGGTCCTGCTGCAGTGTTCCTCTGTTCTTGTTTTTAAAAGGGGCAGTAGAAATATTAAAATGAGATCCAATGTACAAACATCTCTTGCAATAAAGACTCCAACTTAATAAAAATTTGTATACAGTGGAACCCCTGTTTTCGTTTGCCCTGGTTTTTGTCGAATTTGGTTTTCAACGACTATTTTTCATCAAAATTTTGTCCCAGTTTTCATTCATCTCGGTTTTTGTCGGTCCGCCATACCGAATGTGTCCACCTGTCCGCGCCCACACAAAGCATCCCACATGTTCTGAGTTAGTCTGGCTTTGTTTCTTGTCAAGTGAGCATTACCCTGCGCGTTCATCCGAAACATTTCCTAATACCAATCCATTGTTTTTTTATGCTTTTTTATTGGGTGCAACTGCTAAATAAGCAATCATAGGGCCAAAGAAAGTTCCGAGTGCCAGCCCTTTGATAAAGAAAGTGAGAAACATGATAGAATTCAATTGTGGCCAGAATGTGTCCTTGAGAAGGATTTTGAAGAGTCTGAGGCTGACCCTGACAACCCTATGCCTGTTGTGGAATCTATTGTTGGTTAGGGGAAGTCCATGGGGTTGAATGCAAGTGGCCAGGATGTGGAAGAGTTGGTGGACAACCACAGGGAAGAGCTAACCACTGAAGAGCTGCAACACCAACTGGAACAGCAACAGATCGTAGCTGAGGAAATTGCTTCAGAGGAGGAGGAGGAAGAGAGGGGAGAATGTGCCTTCTTCAGTGATTAAGGACATATGTGCAAAGTGGAGCGAGTTACAAAGTTTTGTGGAGAAATATCCCCCTAACAAAGCTGTTGCAAGCTGTGTCTGGAACATGTTCAATGACAATGCCTTGTCCCATTTTAGACACATCTTAAGAGACACCAGAAACAGACCTCTCTAGACAGATTTGTGTGACAGGGGTCCAGTGCCAGTAAAAGACAAAGAAGGGAAGTAACCCTGGATAGGGACTTGATACCTGAAGTCCTTATGGAGGGGGATTCCCCTTCCAACCAATAACCTGTCCTCCTCCCTCTCCCCCCTCTTCACATCTTCCATATGCCAACAAGAGTCAAGTGATATTAAATGTTCATTTATCCATTTCATTAGTCCTTTATATTTATTTCTCATTGTTTTCTGCATGTAAAACTATAGTTATTCTCTATAAAATGTATTTTTTGTTAATACTTTTGGGTGTCTGGAACGGATATAGGTTCACATTATTTCTTATGGGAAATATTGCTTCAGTTTTCGTCGAATTCGGTTTTTGTCAGACTTTCTGGAACGAATTAATGACAAAAACCGAGGTTTCACTGTATTTCCTACCAACAATACAAAGACAAATTATACACTGAGTTATACTGTGCAACATATCTCACATGTGTACTAACCTACGAATAAAACAATTTTTTAAACAGTACATTCTGAAAAGTAACTGGTTATGTTGAGCATTTATGGCAGACTAAAAAACTTAAAACTACTGGAAATTTTATACAGTAAAGTTAGATTTGAATATTAAGTTTAATTAACATGTCTGGGGATAAGCTTAAATGTATATTTAAACTACATTAAAACAGTTATGTAATATGAAAACAGTAATACAATATTATATTCATAATTCTGCCAATTATTTGGGGTAAAAATATTTTAGGGACATGTCAATGAGTATGAATGTTGATAGGAATCTGGATAACAGGCTGCATTAAATATTTCACATTATATTTGATCTATGGCAGAAAGGAAGCTTTCAGAATCTGATAGAGTATTTCATTAAATCAATTTGAAATATGTAAAATGTGTTCATTTGCTGCCTTCCATACTGTACTTATTATTGTAGTTAACTGCAAAAGACGTCCTGTTTAATAGTCTATGTCTAGATCTAAAGTAACATTTAAGCATTAGTATTCACAAATCCAGTAATTATGTCATGCCTGAAGTGCATGACATAATTATTGGATTTCATTGTACCTACCAATGCTTTATAACATTAAGCTACATTATCTGTACCACAAAGAAATAAAAATAGTATTGTATTCAACTGTATGGAATGTGTACTCAGGTTGTGTCAAACACATGGGATACCTGATAGTACAGGGCACCAGTAATTGCTCAAAGCTCTCACACCTGTTCTATACAAATTTAGTTCTAAACATAAGTTAGTTCTAAATATTGCACTATGCATCAACTATTTTTATGAATTGCATTACTACTGTTAATTGTGTAAAAATAATTACTGTATTCGTTTTGTTCAGCACTAAATGCTATTCCTTCCACAGGCTTCACAAAACGTTAACTTTCAGAATCTGTCATCATGGCTCACTACATTCCTACTGTAACCAAGTAACTAGCTGCATCTTCATCATTATTTAGTTACTCCACAAAACTGATGATCATTGAATCAGTTTGAAATATGTAATTGTTTTGTAAGCGACCATCTGTCATTAGCTACTACTATTTATGTATTCACAATTTTATCAACTAAATAAGACATGTGTAAATTACCTAGAATAACCCATAAAATTTACCTGCAGTAGAAGAGCTCTTAACCTGCCTTAAACCTCATTAATCACTACAAGTGTAAACTTTCCGTGATTACTAATACAAATAATGTTACCCGAAATGTTCAGGTATATTAGTGGCTTTCTTTGTACTTCACAATATTTTATAACATGTAAATCACACATTTGTATATTATGCAAAGAAATAAAAGTTTAATAATAACTTCAACAAGCTATCTTGAGTACAATTGAGCACAGAGCTAAACCCACAAGGGTTATATCGTGCCTAGGGAATAAAGGCTGGGCCAATCAGAATTTATCCAATTAAATGTAGCATAGTATACTAATTTCCTGGATCAAGAGCCCTTCACCGCCACCAAGGCGTCATAATTAAATTACTAAGGTTTAAATTAAACCTTCATAGTTCTACAATTAGCATCAACTTCCAAGAACACCTTCTAAAAGGCCTTAGGTTCAAATCACGCACAAAAAAACTATCCTGATTATGCTTGAATTTCACTATATAACTTATAAAGCACGGCTTGTCCATCCCGTGTATTTAAGCAAGGATTTTAACATTTTAAATACAACGCAACACAAAATAATGCAATACTCAACACATCACTGATGTCACAAAACAGCACATACAATAAAGAAAATATTGAATAATGTCAAAAACAGCAAGCAGAGATCATAATTACACCGCGAATATTCCAGTAGCCGAGCACAGGCGCCATCTTCCTGGTGTCTGAGAGACGGATGAAGCCCCGGCTGCTGGCACCTTGAGTCAAGCTGCTCCATTATATCTGAACCAGTGATGCTGCTCCACTATCTCTGAACCATTGAAGCTGCTTTGTTATCTCTGAATTAGTGAAGCTGCTCCATTATAACTGAACCAGTGATGCTGCTCCATTATCTCTGAACCATTGAAGCTGCTTTATCTCTGAATTAGTGAAGCTGCTCCATTATAACTGAACCAGTGAAGCTGCTCCATTATCTCTGAACCAGTGATGCTGCTCCATTATCTCTGAACCTGGAGAGAGTTCCGGGGGTCAACGCCCCCGCGGCCCGGTCTGTGACCAGGCCTGGTGGATCAGAGCCTGATCAACCAGGCTGTTGCTGGAGACCTGGAGTTTACCTGGAGAGAGTTTCGGGGGTCAACGCCCCCGCGGCCCGGTCTGTGACCAGGCCTCCTGGTGGATCAGCGCCTGATCAACCAGGCTGTTGCTGCTGGCTGCACGCAAACCAACGTACGAGCCACAGCCCGGCTGATCAGGAACTGACTTTAGGTGCTTGTCCAGTGCCAGCTTGAAGACTGCCAGGGGTCTGTTGGTAATCCCCCTTATGTGTGCTGGGAGGCAGTTGAACAGTCTCGGGCCCCTGACACTTATTGTATGGTCTCTTAACGTGCTAGTGACACCCCTGCTTTTCATTGGGGGGATGGTGCATCGTCTGCCAAGTCTTTTGCTTTCGTAGTGAGTGATTTTCGTGTGCAAGTTCGGTACTAGTCCTCTAGGATTTTCCAGGTGTATATAATCATGTATCTCCCCTCCTGTGTTCCAGGGAATACAGGTTTAGAAACCTCAAGCGCTCCCAGTAATTGAGGTTTTTTTTATCTCCGTTATGCGCGCCGTGAAAGTTCTCTGTACATTTTCTAGGTCGGCAATTTCACCTGCCTTGAAAGGTGCTGTTAGAGTGCAGCAATATTCCAGTCTAGATAGAACAAGTGACCTGAAGAGTGTCATCATGGCTTGGCCTCCCTAGTTTTGAAGGTTCTCATTATCCATCCTATCATTTTTCTAGCAGATGCGATTGATACAATGTTATGGTTCTTGAAGGTGAGATCCTCCGACATAATCACTCCCAGGTCTTTGACGTTGGTGTTTCGCTCTATTTTGTGGCCAGAATTTGTTTTGTACTCTGATGAAGATTTAATTTCCTCATGTTTACCATATCTGAGTAATTGAAATTTCTCATCGTTGAACTTCATATTGTTTTCTGCAGCCCACTGAAAGATTTGGTTGATGTCCGCCTGGAGCCTTGCAGTGTCTGCAATGGAAGACACTGTCATGCAGATTCGGGTGTCATCTGCAAAGGAAGACACGTGCTGTGGCTGACATCCTTGTCTATGTCGGATATGAGGATGAGGAACAAGATGGGAGCTAGTACTGTGCCCTGTGGAACAGAGCTTTTCACCGTAGCTGCCTCGGACTTTACTCTGTTGACGACTACTCTCTGTGTTCTGTTAGTGAGGAAATTATAGATCCATCGACCGACTTTTCCTGTTATTCCTTTAGCGCGCATTTTGTGCGCTATTAACGCCATGGTCACACTTGTCGAAGGCTTTTGCAAAGTCTGTATATATTACATCTGCATTCTTTTTGTCTTCTAGTGCATTTAGGACCTTGTCGTAGTGATCCAGTAGTTGAACAGACGGGAGCGACCTGTTCTAAACCCATGTTGCCCTGGGTTGTGTAACTGATGGGTTTCTAGAGGGGTGGTGATCTTGCTTCTTAGGACCCTTTCAAAAGATTTTTTATGAAGGGATGTTAGTGCTATTGGTCTGTAGTTCTTTGCTGTTGCTTTACTGCCCCCTTCGTGGAGGGGGCATGTCTGTTGTTTTTAGAAACTGTGGGACGACCCCCGTGTCCATGCTCCCCTTTTCCATAGGATGGAAAAGGGTCGTGATAGGGCTTCTTGCAGTTCTTGAAGAACACAGAGTTCCTGAGTCTGGCCCTGGGGCAGAGTGCATGGGGGATTCCTTATCGCCTGTTCGAAGTCATTTGGCGTCAGGATAAAAATCGGATAGGCTTGTGTTAATCAAATTTTGTGGCTCCTCATAAAAAATTATTTTGATCTTCGACTCTCAGTCTGGTTAGCCGCTTGCTAAAAACTGAGTCATACTGGGGCTTGAGTAGCTCACTCATTTCCTTGCTGCCATCTGTGTAGGACCCATCTTGTTTAAGTAGGGGCCCAATACTGGACGTTGTTCTCGATTTTGATTTGGCATAGGAGAAGAAATACTTTGGGTTTCTTTCGATTTCATTTATGGCTTTTAGTTCTTCCGCGATTCCTGACTCCTAAAGGATTCTTTTAGCTTAAGTTCGATGCTTGCTATTTCTCTGACCAGTGTCTCCCTACGCATTTCAGATATATTGACCTCTTTTAGCCGCTCTGTTATTCTTTTCCGTCGCCTGTAAAGGGAGCGCCTGTCTCTTTCTATTTTACATCTACTCCTCCTTTTTCTTAGAGGAATAAGCCTTGTGCAAACATCGAGTGCCACCGAGTTAATCTGTTCTAGGCATAAGTTGGGGTCTGTGTTGCTTAGTATATCTTCCCAGCTTATATCGTTTAGGAATTGGTTTACTTGGTCCCACTTTATGTTTTTGTTATTGAAGTTGAATTTGGTGAATGCTCCCTCGTGACTAGTCTCATTATGTCGGTCTGGGGCTCCACGCATACATGTCTGAACTCAATTATGTTGTGATCTGAGTATATTGTTTTTGATATGGTGACATTTCTTATCAGATCATCATTGTTAGTGAAGATGAGGTCTAGTGTATTCTTCAGTCTAGTAGGCTCTATTATTTGCTGGTTTAAATTGAATTTTGTGCAGAGATTTAAAAGCTCGTGTGAGTGTGAGTTTTCATCATAGCTGCCTCCTGGTGTTATTACTGCAACAATATTATTTGCTATATTCCTCCATTTTAGGTGCCTTAAGTTGAAATCCCCCAGGAGCAAGATGTTGGGTGCAGGAGCTGGAAGATTTTCCAGACAGTGGTCAATTTTTAACAGCTGTTCCTGGAATTGCTGGGATGTTGCATCCGGAGGCTTGTAGACTACCACAATGACTAGGTTTTGGTTCTCGACCTTTACTGCTAAAACTTCCACTACATCATTTGAGGCATTAAGCAGTTCTGTGCAAACAAGTGACTCTGCAATGTACAGGCCAACCCCTCCCCCTTTTGCCTGTTCACTCTGTCACATCTGTATAGGTTGTAACCTGGGATCCATATTTCGTTGTCCAAGTGATCCTTTATGTGGGTCTCAGTGAAAGCCGCGAACATTGCCTTTGCCTCTGCAAGCAGTCCACGGATGAAAGGTATTTTGTTGTTTGTTGCTGGCTTTAGACCCTGTATATTTGCAAAGAAGAATGTTATCGGACTGGTGGTATTGTTGGTACTGGGGGGGATTTTTTTTCCGGCATTAGTATCTGTATCTGTTGGTTTGGAGTGGAGGCCATCGACTGTGGTTCCACTCCAGGAATGACTGGATTTGGTGTACGATTTCTACCATTTCCTGCCAGTTTTTTTTTCCTTCCTGGCACTAAAAAACCTCTCCCTCTTGAGTGGCTGTGGCTACCCAGGTTTTCCCATGGCCTGGAAGTTTTGTATCTTTTTGTCCCCTTTAGATGGTATGCCTGGCAATTTAAGTTATAGCACAGTCTTTCCTGTACTGAAGAGGTACACAGTTCAGGGTGAAAAAGCTTACAGGAAGGGAGTTTGCATTTTCCTGTTGTCATATGGGCATGGCATTTTCTAGGGTGGTCATAGTTGCACGTCCCATCTGTTTTTCCAGATTTCCCATGCCAGCAGATACCAAGTGCATAGTATGTGCACAGGCTTGGTTTCCGTTTGCCTTGGGTTTCTGTGACTGTATTCCCTGTTGGTGCATGTTTCCCTGTCTTCTATCCTCCCTAGCACCAACAATGGAGCTCCCACCAGTTGTTTTTGGTAATATATCCTCACTATTGCTAGTGGAGTCCTCTTGTTTGCTATTTCCTGCGGTATTTCTAGTTTGCAATATTGGTTTTATCTTATCTTTGACTTGTTTCCCTACTATGGCTCCTGTCCCCTATGAGGTCATTTATATGTATTCCTTCCTGCGTATAGTTCCCGACTACCTGGACAAAATCTCCAGCTTCACCATTTCTGTCTCCCAGGACAGCATCTCCAGCTTCACCATGTCTCCCAGGACAGCACCTCCAGCTTCATTATTACTGTCTCCCAGGACAGCACCTCCAGCTTCACCATTACTGTCTCCCAGGACAGCACTATCAGCCCCACATTTACTGACTACCAGGACTTCATCTCCAGCCTTACAGTTTCTGACTACATGGCCAGTATCAAGGGCAGTACCATTCAGCACAGACTTTTTATGTTCCCATCTGTTGTAGAAAGCTTCCAGGTTGTCTATGAAAGCAGCTTTGATGTTGTCCTCTTTTAATACTCTTGTGATTTTAGTCCACAGATTTATCTCATTTGGGCATACCCAAAAACATTTCCCTGTTTTAACACTGCTTGTAGCTAGTTCTTGGATATCTGCACAAGGGGCGTGACACCATTTTCCACACAAATGACAATTTATCCATGTGGAAGCCCGTTTGTTTGACTGACCACAGACTACACACAGCTTCATAATGATTTGAATGGTTGATTTACTGCAGTTCTACTAGCAACCTCTTGAATATTCTATTAATAACCTCCTTAAATGAAGCTCTAGCTATTTGTATTTCTGTTTCTAACTGTTTTTGTATATTGGACAGCTTACCGTACACGTTCCTGATATATATTTAATGTTTGTGTTTATAAGGGCGCCTACAACCCCATCCGTTTACAGTCTGCTTTATTGTCCAACGAAACCGTTTGAAACCAGTCAAGGGTTCGGACCAGTCAAGGGTTCGGACCAGTCAAGGGTTCGGACCAGTCAAGGGTTTGGACCAGTCGATCTGATCTGATCAGTGGGTCACTGTGGGTCAGTGAAGCTGCTCCATTATCTCTGAACCAGTGATGCTGCTCCATTATCTCTGAACCAGTGATGCTGCTCTATTATCTCTGAACCAGTGAAGCTGCTCCATT